TGAAAGAGTTAACTCTTTTTGCATTGGGAAGGTCGAAGTACGTGTGTCACAACCTTTTACAGTTAACATTCAAAAATTTAATTAAACTACTTTATTATCAATATATATGAATACACTTGGCATCAAAATGTACTTAATTAATCAAATTTTAATATTATTTAATTTTTAGGTTCTTAATATTATAAGAAAATATTTTAAAAAAATCCTTAATCTCCCCTAGTATGAGAACTGTGACATTTGCTCTCTATATCTTCCCTCTTCTTTGATTTATTTAACACTCCTCTGAGAAGTATGGAATTTATGTAAATTGCTCATTATAATATAGCTATTACTCAGACAAAGGATAATTTTTATGGCCTTCAATCTTATTTGGTTTTCATAGCCATAAACTAGAAAATCAGACCCCACCCATCACTTCATCTCTTCCACAAATTGCTAGTAGTTTTCTCCGACATTTAATGCTATATTATTTATAACCAATAGAAAGCCAAAGGTTTAATTTATCAATTGATGTATTATATTATGTTGTTTTCTGTACAGAGAATTGTGTATTTCCCTTCCATTTCAAACTTTATTTCCATGGGAAGGACATCAATTTCTGAATGTTTTACATCTTTTATCACATAGTTAGAAAGCCAAAAAATTATGATAGTTATAGGACATTTTCTGGTTTTTACTTGTTCTTATTCTGTGTTCTTAGATGCATTATTTAATTAAATAAAACATTCTTTATTACAGTAGTACCATTAGTATAAAAAAATAGGGTTAAGTTTCATTGACAGTCGACAGCGAAAAAAAAAAGACCCAAGTAAGTACTATATTTCTTGTTTTTCATTTATATTCTTTATATTTTATTATAAAAGTAACTTAAATGTCAAAAATAGAAATTTATTATGTTAAATAAGGTTAGGTTACATGAAATATAGAAAAATAAAATATTTTCACAAGTAGCCCATGTGTTACATAATTTGATAGGGTAACGTTAGCTATACATTCGCTGAGTGATTTAGTAAACAACATGTGTGGAAGGATTATTAGTTAGACATGGTTCAAAGGGCAAAAAAAGAATTAAATTAAATATAAATAGATGTATGTTGTTGCAAGCTTTAACACGACTTAGGAAAATCAATTGTAGTTTCCTGTAATTTAGAATTATTTCCTAATTTTTTCATGGTGGTTGAGTGGTCAGTCAAATCAACAAACCCTGTATAGAGTTGTAGCATTGAAAATAACAGATAATATATAAAGTTCCTGGAAAAAAAAAATGTGATATTTATTTAGGAGGTTTTAGGAATTATGCAGACGAAATTTGAAAATTTTAAGATGAAGAAAAGTATTTTTAATTTTAACATGACTTTGACTTTGTACTCAGAGTAGTCAACACTAACACCATATAATAACAAACAAAGTTTTAGTAAAAATACTTAATTAAAAATTCTGATTTTTTTTTTGTCTTCAAAAAACTTTCAGAGTTTACTGAAAGCTTGCCAGATTTTGTGAAGATACATTAATTACTTTCAGAATCATAGTATGTATACCACCATAATTACATTGTGGTTACGAGATTGTGTAAAATATATGAGCCCATTGCAATAGAGTTAAACAGATCAAAAGTATTTCCTGGATTAGATTCTAGGGCTGAAGGTAATAGGTAACTTGTCTACATATTTATAAAAGCATATGGTAATGAAAACAATTGCAACAGTTTTCCAGTTATGCATCGTTTCTTCAACTTTTCATAGTCTGTGACAAACCAATCTACAAAAAAAATATATAGAATTTTTTCTTAAATTCAAGAACTTTTAAAATTAATTTATGCTTATATTGTACTGGATAATAGAATATGTTGATATTTTGACTACAGAGGTTTGGAGAACTTTGGTGGCCAGTGTCGAAATTGTTCTCGCCACACTAACTGCAGGTCCTGTTTAAATTACCTACGTTGTGGGTGGTGTGGACTTGTCAGTAATCCAACCCTTGGAGCATGTGTGAGCGGAGACTATGGTGGACCAGATATTGGTAATTTCTTATTGTTTATTGGAATACATAAAATTTATGCATTTATTTTCTAACCACAGTGATAATGCATAATATTAAGGATCTCAGAAACCTGCATATTTATTTTTCCTGTGAATGTCTTAATAACAAAAACTTATGAAAACTACTCTGCTGTATTACATTATTATTAGTTCTGATACAAAAATAACATTATGAAGAACCTAGTAGGGAAAAATGTTGCTTGCATCTTGTATAACTAAGGATAGTTTGATTTAAATTCATCTTCATACTTATAAATGATGCACGTAACAGTTTTATGTTTTATTATTGTCCAAAAGAGGTAATAAAGAAAAGATAAATATACATGTATATAACCAAGAAAACTAATTTTTCAAGGAGAAATGTTTATTCTATTTCCTGGCACTCAAATTGTTTGTTACTTTTTTACTAGGCCTAAATGAACTTGTAAAAAGGTTGTGCATGAGCTTCATTCTTTATTTTTTATTAGTTTTTCAAAGATGCTTAGATACTGCTTGGACTAACATTGTGAGTTTGAATATAAATAGTGATTAACTTGTTTTGTTTATGTACAGGACAATGTGAAAATATTTTAGAGCACATCCACACTAACATCTCTGAGTTGGAGCTTGCTGAGTGGTCTTATAGTACCTGTCCTCTTGTCGACGAGTGTCGCCTGGGTCTTCATGATTGTCACTTGAATGCAAGTTGTATTGACACAAAGGATTCCTATAACTGTACTTGCAATAAAGGGTTCAAAGGTGATGGAGTTTCATTCTGCAACAGAACGTAAGTGTACAAACCATTATTGGAACTTGTGCTTCACTAAATTCTAGTATGGAAATCATAATCATCTTTAGCAAAGTCTTGAAAATTTTCTGTGCTTGCTGTATATTTGGGAAATAGATTTTTTTGTGTGGAAATACTTTGATTTTTTTACCCTGTAGTAGTTACAATAAACGTTAATTTTAAGAAATTTTACGCATGTGATATTCTATATTTTAGTTATATTTTTTACAGAAATATTATTCTTCAGTTATTTAGAGTTGCAAGAAACAGAAAACTTTACTCCTTTTTCATGAATGTTTAGATGTTTAGAAGAGTGTGTCCATGGTCATTGCTCTGAAGTCCTTGACTACCAGTGTACATGTGAAATAGGTTGGACTGGAAGTGATTGTAATACTAATTGTGGCTGCCATAACCATAGTACTTGTGTCCATGGAGTTGGTCTCTGTGATGAATGTCGGGACTTGACAGAGGGAAAATTCTGTGACAAATGCAGGTGCAGTACCTTAAACAAAGTCCCAAGCCTAATCAGAATCTTGTAGTCATTCACTAGAATTGACATGTTTAAGATAAAAGTTTTTTTTCTTGTCTTTTGTTATTTTAACCTTAATATTTTTGCATATGTGTTTTCTTTCTAATTAAACTTCTTGATTACAAAGTTAGGCATGTGTTAGAATAATGTTAAACAAAAGTTATAATTATACCATGTAATACTGAAAAATTAAAGATGCAATAAAGAATAGAGAAGCTTTAATAAAACAAGCCAGAAATTAGATGTTAAATGTTATTCTTAAATGTTTTGTTATTTCAGTTACTAAATTAATGTGACATTCCCCAATGCATAGCAACAATTTTACTTTGTATCCATAAATCAAAGTATATTATATTATTACTTTTAATGTACTCTCATTTATTGTTGTTATATATATCTCTCTACAAGCTCAGCTGAGCTTGTGACCCCAAATTGACCTTTATAGTTTCCATACTATAACTACTAATATGTTTTGTGTATCTTCACAAAATTTTGCATGCTTTCAGTAATCTTTAAGCCATTTGTAGACAAAAAAATCAGAATGTTTAATTATTTCACTAAAAATTTCTCTATGAATATATGGAGTCAAAGTGTTGACTGCTCCAAGTGCAAAGTGATTTTCATGTTAAGACTAAAAATACTTTTCTTTATCTGAACAATCTCAAAGATCATTTGCATAACCTCTAAAACCTCCCAAATAAATTTTAAATATTTTTTCAATAAAACTTTATATTTTATATATTATTTTCTCTACCCTAACTCTATACGAGGTTGGTCAATATGGTCAATTTGACCAACCTCATATCCACCAAAAGAAAATTCGAAATAAATCTAAATTACTCTTTTTTTTTTCTTTCTAGAATGACTTCAAATTCTATCATGAAACTACATTTGTTTATCCTAAATAGCTTTAAACTGCTAACAATAGACATCTGTTTATACTTAAATTTTATTGTTTTGTTGCTTTTTGAACCATGTCTAACTAATATTACCACCACAGAAGTTGTAAATCACTTGGCAAACGAGTAGTTCATGTTACCCTCTCAACTTACGTACTGTAGGGGTGATTCGTGAGTTGCTTGCAGGTGTACCTCATGAAAATTGTTTATTATTTGTTTTACCTAATTTAACCTAAAAAAGTTTCTAATTTCTACATTTTAGTGACTTTTATAATAATAAATATAGAATCCACATTAAAAAAAGAAATATAGTACATACTTCTGTCTCTGTTTTTTTTGCTGTCAACTATTGATGACACTTAACCCTACTTTTTTATACTAATGGTATTACCACACTTAATTTTTTAAAAATTAAATACTGTACCTAAAAACAACAGAATAATAAAATGTGAAAAGCAGACAATGTCCTATGAGTATCATAATTTTTCTAGCTATGCAAAAAAACCATTAAAAATTCAGCTAAGATTCTTGATGCATTTCCTATGGGAATAAAATTTGAACTGGAAGTGAAATATACAATTCTTTGTGAAGGAAATGATGTAATATAATACATCACTTGATACATTAAAACCTTGTCTTTCTGATGGTTACAAATAATATAGTATCAAACATCAGAGAGAACTATTAACAATTTGTGAAAGAGAAGATGTGACAAGTGGGCATGGCAAGAGAGGTCTGATTTTTTAGTTTATGGCTCTTTAATTAAATCAAATTGAAGGGTATAAAAATAATGCTTTGCCTGAGCAATTTATGCTAAATTTTGTACTTCTTGGAGTGGTGGTAAATAAATTAGAGAAGAGGGATACTTAGAAGGAAAATGTATCAGTTCTCATACTAGGGGAAATTGGGATTTTTTTTAATATTGCCTTATAAAATTAAGAACTTAAAACTTATATACTATTGAAATTTGGATTAGTAGTTATATTTTTATGCCAAATTTATTTGTATACCATGATAAGAAAGTAGTGTAATTATATTTTAAATGTAATTCACTAAAACCTTGTGACATGTGCAGAAAAAGATGCCTGTAGAGAGGTTAAATTGAAATTACAATGGAGTATTAGACAAGTATTAAAAAATCAACATAATGTTGGTTATTTTATAGTTTTGACAGTGACTAGGCTAGATATGGTGTGAGAAAATGAATTTGGTGAATTGATGTTATACTGAAAGTTTGTATGGATTCTGAATTTTTTGTTCTTGCTTTAGGCTGCTTAATATTGTTGTATTACCCCTCCAGTGATGGGAAAAGTTTAAGTTATTCTGTCCATTTAAATTATGTTATGGACTTTAAAAAAGTTAATTGTGTTGTTGCACTCTTGGTTTCACTCAAAAGCAAAGCTCTGAGCAACTTATACCGCCCACTGCAAAAAGTAATTGTTGAGCATTTCAGTCATGCAAAGAGCTGCTCAACAGTGACATACAGTAAATCTACATTTTCATTCTTTAAGTTATGTCACATTTTGAAATTTGAATGATAGTGTGATTAATTCCTAACAACTTAGTGTAGAATATCCTGCTGGCAAAATAAAATTTGGCATCAACATTAATCATGCCTGTTCTCTCATCATTTCCAAAGTAAATGAGCTTTGCCTGCAGGCACAGCTTTTCAAATGGGAGACAAACAAATGCTTGAACAGACATCACGATTCACAATATATATAAGATTTTCATTTGAACAACACAGTATATGGTAAAAAAAAGAAAAATAATTTTAAATATCACTGAGTTCATGTTGTTTTTTTATCATTGTTATGTGAACATGCATTGTTTTCTAATAAGTGCTTTAATAACAATATGTGTATTAAAATATAATCTTTCTACTTAGTCCTGGAAGTTATGGAAATGCAACCAGTATGTTAACTGGATGCAAGAAGTGTGATTGCAACAAACATGGTAATGTGAAAAAAGGAATATGTGACAATAAAACAGGAACTTGCTCTTGTGTTGACAATACCATTGGGAAAAGATGTGAGAAGTGTGCCCCAGGTTATTATGGTAATCCCATGTAAGTATAGCAGTTCTTTGTATGATTTTTTTATGTTATCGAAACTATATCATCATTCACCTTTTCTCACTTGATGAGTGATTCTCAATTAATAAACCATGAAGTTAATTTTGTAATTTAAATCTTATTATGTTTATAACCACAGACAAATTTTGTAATTTAAATCTTTTTATGTTTATAACCACAGACAACTAGAAATATTAGTAGGCTAATTGATGAAAACACTTTATTCAGCAACATAATCATTTAAGAAATAAAAAAGGTATGTAACATTACTTGAATCCTTGGCATTGAGCTGTAGTTTTCATAGCATTAAAAATACCTTCTGTGTATTTCTTGTGGACTGCTTTGTATGCTTGGTAATATTAACTAGTGTTTGTGTTTTGTACTCTTGTGATCTTGTATCATGTAACTAAATCAAAGAAAAGTATTACATAGAAGTTAAGTATTTATAAGTATTTAAGTAGCTAGCATGTTGGGCTGCAAGTCAGAAAATCTACAGTTACCCTTTGATGCTATCGTACACCTTTGTACTTTCAGCTATGGGTGCATTATAAAAGCAACCCTAGTGTTTGGTTTATAGAAGGTAAAATGAAGGTTTTGACAAGTGTTTCCTACTGGCTGTGTACTCTTTAATCAGTAGTTCAAAATTAGTGATGGCCATATCTGAATCCTTCACTCTATAGAGACAGTGCAGTACTCAATGAACATAGCTCATATAGAGAATGATACACAGTGCAACTATATTTATGATAACTCTGAGCTTTCTTAACATATCTGTATAAAAATTGGTAAGATTTTATTAAAGATTACATATATTTTGTATACCAAGAATGAGACTATTTTTATCAAGTATTTATTGTAGTTATTTGCACTCAGACTCTGAAATGTTTGAATGCAAGGTGATTTTCATGTATAAATACTTTTTTCCATGTTATAGTTTTCAAATTTAATTTGCATAATTTCTAGAACCTTCTAAATGAATAGCATAAGTTGTTTTAAGGTAAATGTTTATATTTTATTTTCTGTTTTCTCAAACATATAACTAACTGTAGATATTATCATTAACATATTGTGCAATAAAATGATTAAGATTAACATATGTACATACCTTTTCATTTTCATCAAATAATCTTGAAACATCTTCTTTTGGTTATATTCTTAATTCATGTCTTTACATTTTCACATATAATTTTATTTTTAATGTCTTATTTTCCATTCCTGTCCTTTAGTTTGTTATTTTTTATTGCAACACATGTCTACGTGCATCCCCGGGCCAATATTACAGTGTTGTGGGCTGAGAAACTTTAGCCATTTATAGAATGGTGCTCTTGCTAACCCTCGTAAACAGAGGAGAAGATGGTTTTTATTTAAAAAATTATTATCCTTTCAAATATGCATCTTAAAACATAAATAATACATAATTAAGTAAAATATAAGACTAAACCTAAATACAATTCATCTGTCTAACTAACATGTTTCTAGGTGAGAAACAATGCTGAAATGCTAGCTAAGACACAAGTGGAAACAATGCTAAGAACAGTTTGAATAGTTCTGTATGAAATTGTTTATGCTAATTGTAAAATAACTGTTGGGAAATTGTACTTTGAAATGTGCTCTTCTGTTGGTTATAAACATCTAGCTCAATGAAATATAATAGGCTGAGAAATCAAGACTATTTGTCTAGAACACTGCAAGGCTTCTGTCAAGAGTTCCAAGAAGTTTACTTCTTCTTTCTCTGAACATGCACTAAGGAGCTGGAAAGAAGAATGTGTAAACAGAGCAATTAATCTAGTTACTATCTATACGTAGAAGTAGAGTGAACATGTAGAAGTATTCAAGTTACAGAGATGAAAAGTTCAGACTTTGTGAACTTGTGCATCATGTGACAAGATAACTAAAGTTTAAGAATTTTTCTTTAAGATTCCTTGGAAATATAGAAATTAAAACTTAGGTAATATAAAACTTTCAACTGTAATTTAATTGTAATTCTAATTTCATTGGCAATCATTTATTGTAAAATTGCTTAACTAAATTTTGAATATAACTGAGTAAAACCTTGTGACATGCGTAGAAAATGGTACCCATCTCCATAGGATTAAGATCTCTGACCTTGCTAATTAGACCACATCTTCATAATGTGTTGTTCATGTTCAAAATACTGGTAACAATACTTATACAATACAAAGGTCAGTTGTTTTGTTTGTACACAGTAATAAGTATGCAGTTTTGATGAGAAATCTAACATTGATGACTGAGATGGGGAGGGCAGTACTAACCCATTTAGGTTAGCAATAACTATTTTAGAGGCATAAGCTTATTTCATAAAATAAGAACATTTTCAAATTAATTACTTAAATTTTCATTGCTAATAGATATGCTAATTATTTCCATATGTTTAATGATGGTTATATTTAATATTGGTTGAAAACTCCATGTCAGTTTATGTTTAATACATTTGATTAAACTGTTACCAGTTTAGTACTGGCGTACCATCATAGTGAGCTAAATGTAGTTCCCTCTGTAGTTCTACTTTATAAAATGGCAGTGTATATACGTATAAAGATTGTAATTGATACTATAATAATTATACTTGTAAATCATTTCTATTTGAGTAACTTTTTTTTTATCTAATGACTGCAAATATCTGAAAAATGAACTTCATAATGCTTAAAATACACTACTGAACTGCTTTTACAGAAGGCTTGTCTTTATGAGCATTCTATATGGTTATATTTATTGCCAATGATGTCATAAGAATATAGATATATTAATGGATCAATCTACATGTTTGAGACACTTGTTTGTGTTTGTTATTTATATACCTATATATGTTCAGTGACATTGCTATTAAAACAAATATCTTGATTTAGGGCTTTCAATTTATAATTAGTTAATTTTAGTAGTTACTCAACAGGTGAGGGGTGTGGGAGGCCACCAGTTTATCTCTCAGAATGATATATAGTATTTTGTAACAATGTCAACTACACATGAATCTTATTTAATACTGTGTAATGATTTGTACTACATATAAATGTGATTAAATCCTTCAAATAATCTTAATTTTTCTGCATGTTGTATGAACATATTGTAAGAATAGGTTAAATCAAATGTAACAGTAATTGGACATTCCTTCATTATTTTTTATTTCACAAGCATAATACTTAATGAAAAAGATCACAGGATATTATGTGAATTATACACTTGTGTTTGTTTGGAGACTTGTACTATTTTTGAGATCTGTGGTTATAAATAAACATAATCAAAATGCATTTAATATTTCTGTAATTATGAAGGTTTACCTTTTTACATTTTGAAGACTGGAAAAATTAAAAAAGTGTGCCTTTTCTCTTCACCAAATTGGTAATCACCATATAAATAACACTTAGCATACTCTACAAGAATTAATAAATTGTCAAGGGAGCCTAATATTGAAATGATAAATAACATTCAGCACTTTTCCCTTTGTTTCTGGTGACATAAAGAAATTAGAAAAGGAATTATGAGAATTTTTTTTGGAACTTCTCTATTTGTGGCTGGTACCTAAATTGATAATAGATGGCTGAAAAGTACCTATTTTGAAACCATTGTTTATCAAAACATTTGAGAGTTATTCTTTGTCATTGGTCAGTATAATCACAAGAAAGCCTGAATGTCTTTTTAGAAGATTGTTGAACCATGATTATGGTTTGGGTTTTATAACTGCTAAACATTGAGTGAAAGTAGTACTAGTCTTTTTTTTTTTTTACACTAATAAATAAAAATTATGCCTTTTTTTTGTAACTATTTGAGGCAGAAACAAACAACAGACATGATTAAACTTTACACATTAGAAGCTCTGCTTTATAAGTTTGTATTTTTTTTGTACATGAAGGCTTTAAATACTTTTCAATTGATGTAGAAGCAATTTTTTGAGAAATAGGAAGATGTAAATTAAGCTTAAGAGTTAAGAAAAAATATGCCATAGAAATCTTCAGTTCTTGTTTGTTCTGGCAATGTTTAATTTGTTGAAAAACTAAACCAGTAGAGGGGATGTAAAAAAATCATTTTGCTGAATTTCACACATCAATAAAAATTACCACGATACAAATGGTGAAAGAGTATTTAACTGAATAGCTGCATAAAGTATTTTAAAATTATCAGGTAAAACTAGAGAAGAATTGTGGTCAATAATAGAGTTTTAATTACACCATTATTATGTTTCATATCTTAAATATACTAAAGGTCTGATGTTTTATGGGTATTGCAGTTGTGAAATTGTGATGTATCTTTTTTATTTAAATAGTAAGATTTTATTTAAATGTCATTGAAGCTTTAAGTGTATTGAAGATATGTTAATCCTTTTGTTTCGTATTGATGACTGTGTTTTTTTTTTAAGAAATGGTGGTCAGTGTTATCGAAGGTGTAATCCTCGAAGTGTAAGCACAGATGTAAAAAGTGGGGGATTAGGGGTTCCCCTGTCAACTAAGGAAGTTGGACATTGTCTGTGGATATTCACAGTTTACTCATCACTTGAAGAATCATCCTTTCAGGAGAATGGACAGAGGTAATTATTTTTTTGAAAAGTTGTTCTAGTGCATATCATTTGTAAAATCTTATACAAGTCTTTGAAATTCAAGAAAGGTTTGGAGTTACATATTTTATTTAAAATTTTATTATTTTCTGTTATTAATTTTATTAAACCCTGTAATATAAGAATATTCATAACATATGTGAAAATTGTTATGACCAATAGTGGTTAGTATCTCCTCTTTTAAAACATTGTTCCTATTTTATTCAGTTTAAAACCAATAATGCTTCCATTGCAAAATTAATGAGTATGTATTTACTTTCTCACTATGGACTCGGTTGATTAGACATAAAAATTGACCTTTAGAGTTTCCATACTATAAGATCTAATATTTGTGTGTCTTAATAAAATTTTGCATGCTTTCAGTAATCATTAAAAGTCATTTGTAGACACAAAATCAGTAATTTTATTGAAGTTTTTTCACTAAAAATTTCTCCATGAATATATGGAGTCAAAGTGTTGACTCCTCCAAGTGCAAAGTGATTTTTCATGTTAATATTAAAAAAACTTTTCTTCATTGGAAAATCTTAAATTTCATTTGCATAATCTCTAAAACCTAAGTAAATTTTGAACTTTTGTTTTTTCAATAAAACTATAATTTATCTGTTATTTTATCAACCCTAACTTTATATAAATTTGGTCAAATTGACCGACCTCATAACTATCAAAATACTAAACTTCAAAATAAATCTAAATTATCCTTTTTTTTTTCTTGAATGATTTCAAATTGTAACATGAAACTACATTTGTTTACCCTAAATAGCTTTAAATTCATAACAATAGACATCTGTTTATACTTAAATTTTATAGTTTTATTACTCTTTGAACTGTGTCTAACTGATATTGCCAGCAGAGAAGATGTAATTGAGTAGCCCATGTTACCCTATCAAATTACATAACACACAGGCTACTTGTGAGTTGCTCATGAGCATACCTTGTGAAAACTTTTTATTATTATTTATTTTATTTAATCTAACCTAAAATGTTTCTAATTTGTACATTTTAGTTACTTTTATAATAACAAATAAAGAATACACATTAAGAACAAGAAATATTGAAATTATCTGTGTCTTCTTTTTTCTCCGATATCGACTGTCGATGAAACTTAACCCTACTTTTTTATACTAATGGTACTACTACACCAAATACCTTTTTATTTAATTAAATAATGCACCAAAGAACACAGAATAATAATACACAAAAAGCAGACAATGTTCTATAACTATCACAATTTTTCTGGCTTTCTAACTGCAACAAGAACCATTAAAAATTCAGCTAGGCTTGTTGATGTGTTTCCCGTGGGAATGAAGTTTGAACTGGAAGTGAAATAAACAGTTCTATGTACAAAAAACAACGTTATGTAATATGTCATTTGATGGGTTAAAACTCTGGTTTTCTATTGGTTATAAATAATACTGTATTAAATGTCAGTGAGAAGTATTAACAATTTGTGAAAGAGAGGGTATAGTAAGAGGGGTCTGATTTCCTATTTTATGGTTATGTAACCAAATAAGAGTGATGGCTATAATAATTATGCTTTGCCAGAGTGATGACAATATTATAATGAGTAGCTTAAATTAAATTTCATACTTCTTGGGGGAGTGGTAAATATATTAGAGAAAAGGGGATACCTAGAATATAGGTATAAAGATAACATATGCTTCATTGAGTGTCACATGTTCTGCCATTCTTCCACTGGCTAGGTACCTTTCATATTAATTCTATACAATTAGTCTTCCTTTCCTGAATACGCCATAAAAGCAAACTCGTGTATACTTGAATTGTGGTACTTTCCAGTAGGAGATCCTATTTGATTGTGTTACATGCTGTTTCCTGGGATATGTAGACAGCTTTTGCCAGTGACTTTTGTGTTTGTGGATTCTCACATTTTCCAAGATGTTGCTCTTTACTTATCACAATTGGATTATGAACTTGTTATAGGTTTCTTTCTAGATGATCCTGATGTGCTAAGTTGATTTATATTTTTCTGGTTTCTAATTACATTAAGAACAAGGGATGTTCTTGTCTTGAAAAGTCTGAATCCCTGATCTGAATGCATCTTTATGGTGTGAGTGTATGAATATTTTGTCTGAAAAGGCTGTTACATAGTTTCCCAAATGTGATCAGTTTTGGTAATATCACACTTCGTACAAAATACCAAACAATATCAAAAAGTAGCTCTTATACATTCTGTTCACAACAACTTCGTATTGGCTGTTGTTGTCATGTGAATTGCTTATTTGCATATTTAGAATTGTTTAAATATACATACTCAACCTTCTATATAAATTATTGAATTCAATTCTATGTATCAAAGTGACTAGAATTTTATAATGTTATAAATGACTCAATCAGAAAATTAATATCCATGCTAATTAAAATGAATCAGCAGATGGGTTCCCTCATTGTTAATGACATCTTTGAATGCAATCCTCTTAATATTTCACAAGATTCAGCCATTTAAGTAGTTGAGGTTGGTCTTAGAAATATAAACTTGGCTAACAATGCAAAATTATCTTCATGAATCTTTAAAAAAATAGTCAAACGTTTTCAAGATTATCATAAATTTTATAACTAATAGAATTTAAGCATAAAGAGAAATGGAGCCAGTTATTTTGTACATATCATACAAACATACCAGTGGGATATGCACAGCTTGTTAATACACAAAATACTTATAAAATAAAGTTTGGAGATGACTTGAATGCATAGTGAAAGAAACTTTATTACAAATGTACAACATTTCGATAAGCTTTTATCATTATTACTATAATCATTGCCATATAAATTGATTAACGGTAAAAATTATTCAGTTGAATTTGACTATGTTTGTCAGGTATCCTATTAAAAATTTTGGAGTGAAATATTTTCAGTCATTTTGTTCTTTTTTTTCTCAAATTGCATATACTTTATTAAGGCATCTGCAACAGTGCAAGTTGTTGTGTGCTGTAATGAGAACTTGAAGTATGAGCAATCTTAATGTTGTTTTTTTTTCCACTACATGCTTCATATCTAGTCACAACAACATCAGTATGACTGGTGATATAAATAGAATTCATTCCTCATTAGCTAATCTAGTGACTGTTCTGGTAACATTAGAATTATTGATGGGAACCCCAGTGGAACTTATTGATTTTTAAACACATTTTTCTAAACTGTTTATGCACCAAGTTACTTGTGGCTCCATAACTGTTGGTTACAGTCCTTAATAACACATGAATCAAACAAATGAAATAGTGCTAATATTGCAGCTAATCCCACATTTTACTGGTGATGTACCTCATGTATATCACACTCAATGTTTTTAATCATTTCTTTACTCTGAGTGTTGTAACAGGTAAAAGCATAAAATTATTCAGTCCTATGCAATATATGGATCCTACCAGCAGTGGAAAGTAATAAAATATGTTGGTAATTGTAAAATGAAATCCACTTGCTAGTGCCATAACATACTAACTATAATTTATGTTGTGTACACACTTGGATTTTAGCAATATTTAAGTGCAGGCCTGATAATTCCTACACAACATAAGCTACTTACATATTCACTAATTCAGCATCTTTCTAATAAATCTACTAACTTCCTTTAATTAAAACTATGAGTTCTGTTGCTTACATGTGTAGTTTTTAGTAACATGTCAAAGTAGGTTTGATTCTCGGATAACTTTCCACAACCAATAAAAACTTTAAGAGTACAAAATATACTTTTTATATCTAATCCTTTCTGTAGTAGTAGTAGTAGTAGTCCAAAAGCAATGTGGATTTTACCTTTGAACACAGAAGGGTGTTTTTTTTTCTAGAATTTGATAATATAGACTCGTAATTTATTTTTAATAAATAGATCTTTGAACACGTTGTTGGTGTTGAAACAGGTTTTAGTATAGGCTCTAACCTAGCTAACTTATTTTTCTGTACCATAAGAAGTAATGGTTAAATAATTGACCTTTATGCATAAGTTCATTGTATATTAACATCTAAGAGTCCATCATCTCACCAGTAACCTATCTTTGTTTCAACTAGAACTGTCCAACATTAGACAAATACTTCAGAAACATGATTTTTCTTTTGGCTTCACCAAAGAATTATAATCTACAGTTTGATACCAAAGTTCTTGACATAAATTCATGAAATAGAAGTTCAATAAAATTTTGAATGCGAGTCAACAAACGAGATGACATGGCCTTTCACCCATGACCCGTCTTGAAAGGGTTAAGAGATAAAGTTGTATGACTTTGAGTAGAGCCTTTCTACAGAATTGTTTTAAAAAGTATTTTTAGACTTTCTCTTCTTCTTTTTGTTTTGTATAAGTATAAAATTATCAAACTAATGAAGTCACTATTGGTTTACGAATGATCACCTGTCTTTTCTGACCAGAAGGCTGTATTGTCTGTACTCTGTTAATGTCAAAGAATAAGTGAAATACTCATCACCTGCTCTGTATTACAAGTTGTGAGTCTTATCACATGTATAAAATGAGTGTGATAATCTATTTCAAGAAGAACTGTTTCATCTTCCAATGGAAGAAGTTTGTGTATCAGAGAAATTCTTGCCACAAAATAGCATGTTCAAGATTCTTCAGTTAACTTGTTATAAAGAAATCAAACTGTCTTTTAAAAATAAATCGTACAGAAACTGTTTCAAACAACAAATTAAGATGTACTTCTTAGATGAAACTAGCAAAGCCAGCCAGTTTCATTCAACACTAGGAAGAAATTGCTACTTCAGTAAAAACTTAGAGATGAGTATTAGCAAAGAATCTTAAAAATGTGTAAATAAAATATTTTTTTTATCTTTTTAAGACAAACAAAAAGTGAAAATGTTTAGGTGCATAATTTGAATAAGAAAGTTGAAAAGCAAGTACTTCTAATATTTATGCATAAGTCTAGAAATACTTAGAATGTATTGTGTCCAGTAGAAGCTGCTATAACATGTCTATAGTGTGTATGCTAGTTATGATATGTGGAAGTGATAAATTAAATATTTTCTAGCAGAGATGATTGTGGTAAATTGGAGGTTTGATACTTTTTTTTATCATACTTATTACTAATTTGTTAATATGTTACTTATAAAACAAAAACAAATTGAAATTCTTTTTTCTTAATGGTAGTAGGTATTTAACAATCATAAATTAATTATTAAAAATCAATGTGATTCATACTGAAAACTTATACTGAGTGTTTCTGATTGTTATTATTTTTGGTATTATATTTATCTTTTTTCAATTCCAGTGCTGGAATTCTTTTGACAATTGAATCAGATATACAGATTTCTTGTTATCAAAATCATATTTACGTTTATGATGGGCTACCCAAGTTTCTTCACCCAAATCGTCTGAGACGGGAACTTGGGACTTTCTGTGGAACAAAACAGCATCAATCAATCAAGGTCTTAGCTACTTCAGGATACCTTACTGTTTTCTACCAGCACATTGATGCATCACAAGGATTTAATGCTACTTATCATCGTGTGGAGTGTCCAGATTTTTGCAGAGATCCTCACCGTACTTGTATAGATGGTCAATGTCAATGTAAACCTGGCTTTGTTGGTCCCAACTGTGAAGAAGCCATCTGTCCCAACAACTGCTCTTCTACACGAGGTTATGGAGCTTGTGATGAGGTATGTAACAATTTGTATTTACAGTAATCTTTTTATCCAGTATTTTGTATGTTGAAATATTACAATATCTCTTATAATAATACTCTGTGTTTGTCTGTCCTGAAAATGTGCACACACCTTACTACAACAACATATTAAACACAAAGTTTTTAAAAGGTTCTAATATTATATCATAGAATAACATTATAAGTTTATTTATTGATTGTACTTATTAAGTGTGATAAAGCTTAGGCCTTACTAAACTAAAGCAAAAAAAACATACACAAGCTACAGTGTTAATTTATCTCTTTATTGAATATAGGTGTACTTAATAAAGGCTTAACTAATGTTAGTCCTATAAAAAAATGGACTTGTAGATTTCGATGTCTGTGATTAGATTTCTTTTGTATTTGTCTAAAAATTCTGTACTTAAAGAAGTACTGTTGCAACCAAGATATTAATTTGAGTGCAAGTGTTTTGCAGGTTTCTGCTAGTTCTTTAATGATGCTGTTTTGCTTTATACTTACCATTGTAGAAAGATGCCATGAAGAGTCATATTAAGTAGATTGACTCAGTAGGATAAAGGGTACTAAAATCATAATATCTTTGAAAAAATACAAAAATATGTATTTAAAAACATGATATCAATAGCTTTCATGCACAGACTGTGTTTTGAATGATTCATTATCATAATATTATCATGTTATAACTGAATTGTTTATTTAACTTAGTTCATTCTTATAAGTGGATACTTTAAAAACAATTAATAGCCTATGAAATATTTGAAAGGTAGGCTTGTATTCTTTCAATTGAAGATTGTATAAAAAAAGATAAAAGTTCCATCATTCTACAAGATATATAGACTTCAACATTTAAAACACAGCATAGTTCTGTTCTTCTTGTAGTCTGTTGATAGCTTCTTAACTCTTTTGAGATGGGTCATGGGTTTGTTGACTTGCATTCAAAATTTTATTGAGCTACTATTTCAAGAATTTACGTCGGTAACTTTGGTATCACCCTGCCCACTTCTTTCCATTTTTGGAAACGCTTCCTTATATACACTTCTATATATGACATGAATAACCAATCAGGAGCTCAGAATGTCCCCCTAGTGGCATTCTCAGCCATTTAAATGGGCTCGGCACCATTTCTTTCTTTTGAACTAATATTTCAATGAGGTAGGATGTGTCTTTAGTCTGCTCGAAATTTAATATTTTTTTTACTAAAATACAACTTTGTTACAAAGCTTGATAAATTATAGTG